TCTTATTTCCTATCAACTTTAATACACTTAACTCATATGCATGTGTCTCCTTGCTATAACTAAGAATTTTCTAGAATTATACTCATGCCTTGTCACCTATGGGATACACATTGGGGTATCTATTGCTAGTGCTCAACAAAACCATAATTTTGTCACTTGACTAATGTTATATGCAACAAACATAAAATATGACTTTTTAGCAACTTGATAAAATGAGGTTGGAGTATTTAGCTACTTTCTAAATGCTTCAGATTCTTAAGGACTTATCTGTAAGTGATCATCTGGGACTTACAGTACAACTGTGAGGGCCACATGGCTCTGGCTTTAACTCAGTACAAGAACCTTTTCGAGCTTGTTAGTGGTTACCTTTATAGCGTAAAAGGGGCTTGCCGAATCGGGTATAGTGTGGCCCCTGTCTTTATGTGTATAGTCTGTGCGGAATGTGCCATTTAGAAGGGGAGCCCTACATCTGTTTGCCAATTGAAATCCTAGCGGCCCTAACTTGTTAGATGAACCTTTGAAAAGCTTCATAGTGTACCCTGCCTGCTCACCTTGATAATGTTTTGGGGACTTGCAAACCCCGGGCAAATGAGAAACACGACTCAAAGTGAAAAGTGTACAACATCTACAGAGTGTAAAACTGTTATAACTGTCGTGCTCATGGTCACAAGCGGCCTTAAAACCCTTATGGAATAGATGATCACTATTAATTAATTATTTTTGCTATATATTATTCATATTTACATTGATCATGTGTTTTTATTGGGTTTTATGACAACTTGATGCTATTCATATGCTAAAATTGTGACAACTAAAAATTAGATGCTGTTAAACCTGTCTCAAGTCTTTTGAGCCTCATGAACTCCATGTTACACTTGTTGAGTACGAGATGTACTTACGCTTATTTATTTTTATTATTTGGATAAAAATCTCATAGGGGTAACAAATTGCTGTGGTAATGACGATTTTCCAGAGGATTACTAGTCTTGTGATCCACCAGTTGACGTTCCTGTGCTATGAAGCTTCCACGAGAGAGTTATCTTTATATTTCCGCTATATTTATGTGAAGACTATGTGATAATATTCGTGATGTAATAAATACTTGTGATGATAATTTTTATAATTCTTAGGCTTATGTGTGTGATTGATCTCTAGACGCACCTAGGATTATGCATCATATTTTATCCTTAAAATTGTGTGTGAAAAAAAAATCAATGGCTCAAATTTATTTGTGCTGTTATCTGAGAATTCCTTATATGCCATAAAAAATTATACCAATCATTTACATGCCATTGAAAATTTTGCATTCCCTTCACTGTCACTATTTAGCCGGTGATTGGAGGCCCAAACATGGTTGGATTGGCACCAAACTTAGTGACCTCGTTCCTTACTTAGAGTACTTTCGATCTGTTAAGTTGGTTTGAGTATTGGTTGATTAGAGCACCTGATTTGAGATGGTTTTGTCAGTTCGGGTCGCTATAGTTTTAAAACAGAGCAGTTTTGGTAGATGGTTTGTTTGGGTGGTCAAACAGTGCCCGATTGAGTTGAAATTTAGTTAGTGGTTAGGGGACTCGTGGTTCTACTTGCCTACCAAAATTTGTGCACCGTGAAGCTATAGTTTATGAGATATGAACTGATTACCGAGAGGGACATAATCTGTGACTTCTCTGTTTGGCTGTTGTTATTTCTCTTTGTTAGAAGGTTGTGGTTGTAGTTGATGCTAAGTTTATAACTTGATGAATGTGTTGCTGCTGGTGTAATCCTCTAGATGCTTTAGAGAAGACACCTTGTATGCATTATTGATTATAGTGGAAGCTTAGAGTGGACTGGTTGGTTTCGTGTTTTTTACTCCTCACCTTGAGGAGGTTTCCCACGTAAATCGTTGTGTCTATTATGCATGTGATTGTTAATTTCAGCTGCTGATTTGGTGGTAGATGTTCTGCTCATGATTTATCTCAAGATGAGAGATTAATTGTCCATTATTTTTGCCCTTTTATCCCAACACCAACGTGCACCCATCTTCGGCAGCACCTTGGCCCTCGGGGGATGTCGAACGGTTGCCTATGGCTATGGCCCCGTTTGCTGGGAGGAGTTTAGAAAAATTTGGAGAAATTTATGAGAGAAAAATATTATTCCGGATAAAAAAAGAAGCGAATCAAGCCAGATTTAAAGTCACGTGGGCCTATATTAGCATGCGCACGACATACACGTCATGCCGCTAACAGGCACACCAGCCGATGTGCCACCACGCTCACGTTCGTCGGGTGCTATGCCACAGCCACGCAGTTGTCCACACATAGGATGACAATCCTGCTTGCGGGTGTAAGTGGCCATAGGAATTGTTTCCGATAGGTGTGACGTGGGTACAAAACTTTATCTGTGGGTGTAGGCACAAGTATTTGATAAGATTCTACATATGGGTATAGGTGCCAGTAGGTCGCTTCACCCGCTAGTGCTAAAAATACACAGAATTCTACTTATTCTAGTGATAATCTACACCTTGTTCGCGTGATCGTATCGGCCATGCTTATCAGCTATGATACAGTGTTTTTCTCTCACAACAAAACAACATCACTCAACTTATAAGCCACAGAAACGATCAAGCGACAGGGTGCTAGCTCGCAGGTGCGAGTACCCACGGGTTTCGTACCAAACAGATGCGGGTATGGGTACAAAATCTTAGGTATAGATGTGGGTACGAAATTTTACCCGATAGGTAATTTATCGCGGGTGGGTATTTACTTCTTCTACACGTTATCTGACATGCTACCATCCCTATCCACACGCACGCACTTTCGCGCCAACACTGTAGCCAGCTCCATCACCAATCACCTACCTGCTCATGGATGAGGACAGTTGCGACGCGTCGAGCTCCATCTCGATGGCCTCGTGCGTGTGGTGCCGGGTCTCCACGACCATCGCACCGCTTCGACCTAAGGGGCCTATAGATGGTCAAATGGGACATTCAACATGGGCCCTGGAAAAGCACAACCCGATGACGTCGGGCCAGGCACAGCACGTCGGCCCACCGTGCCGTGCCGAAGAGGGCTTAGTGTCTGGCCATCGGGCCAGGCACAACACACTGAGCCGATTTTCAGGCCGAGCCGCTCGATAAGCACGACTTACAAACTAGGTGGGACCAGCCCGAGGCCCTTATCTCCGCACCGCTGTCGGACTGTGAAGGAGCGCCACTGCTCGTAGGACACCAACACCGTCATCTTTTGCTAGCCCCTGTCCATTATAAGATGTTTTGGTTTTTTTATACATTGCATAACACCGCCACGCCATCTACTGCTACTCCTTGATCAATCAAGCATAGGCATGCAACTATGTGCAGTACCCAACACATGTCAAAATGTTGTCCACATCATTCTAAGTTAAAACAGGGGGAAAACATAAAGTTTTTTTAAAAAAGTGGAGGCAAATTTGTGTTAGAAAAGTTGTTTTTCTATACAGGAATTAACACCATTAGTGCCTCCAAACGGGGTAGTGATAGGGGTGTTTGGATCCGTGGACTAAAGTTTAGTGCCCACACATCGGACATTCTTGATGCTAACTAAGAGAACTAAACATGAGCATAAAGCTAATTGCATAAATAGATACTAATTTGCGAGTTAATCCATCGTTAGCGCATGTTAGTCTCCATTTGTACAATTAGTTTTATAATTAGTCCATATTTAATACTCTAAATTATTGTCCAAACATCCGATGTGATAGAGACTAAACTTAGGCAGGGTATCCTGTTTGGTTTGGAGCTGGCAAAGTCTGACTAGGCAAGGCAATCCGAAGCGTTGGGTTTTGGAGGCCAAGGTGGAGAGGGATGCTTGGCCAAGTTGCCTAGCACAAGGAGTCAAGGACTCCAACCAAATAGAAACAGCCCCTCAATCTTCGGCTTGAAAAGGTCGGGTTAAAATTATATTGAATTAAAATTAGGTGAAAATAATATTAACCTTTAAAGTAGAGGTATGAATGCAAATGCCCAACACAAAAACATACGCTTCATCAAAATATCAATTTCCTATTTCGCTCACTGCGTTCCCAATTTCCTTGCCTTTTGCCGCGACCACATGCTTCATGAAAAATTCAATTTTGCTTAGGTCTTGTTTAGTTGGCGAATTTTTTTGGAAAATAATACTGTAACATTTTCGTTGTTATTTGACAATTAGTGTCCAAATATAGTTTAATTAGGCTTAAAAAGATTAAATCTCGTGAATTTCGCTCTAAACTGTGTAATTAGGTTTTATTTTTATTTATATTTAATGCTTCATGATACGCCTAAAGATTCGATGTGATGGGAAATCTTGAAAAATTTTATAAAATTTTGGGAACTAAATATAAGACTCAGCTCTCCTCTCTCCAACTCTCTGCCCTTTTGGAGAGCGACGAAACCATGCGCAGATGCGCTCCATTCAAATTTTGAATCGAAACCAAAACCTTCCAAAATAGAACGCTCCACGGTCCACGCCGAGCGCTACTTCCAAGTTCCAAGTCCTCCCACATCACCATGGGACGAAAATGAAATCACATCACATCTTGTACAACACCAACCCAGTCCGTGACTACCCATCTGACTGATAGGTGGACCCACTAAATCGGGACCCACGTATCAGCGAAATCTTTCAAGAGGAGGCCAGGTCGCGTTCGCTCGGACACAACCCGAAAAATTCAAACCAGCGTAGCCAACTCTTCGATCCCGCCCGCGCAGCCCGCCACTCACTGACGCTATGTCCCCACATGTCAGAGATTACCAGGGCGCGTGATCTTTAACACCTGTCCATTTCCCTTCATCTATCTCCGTATCCCTGTTTGTCTCTCTCTTCTCCCCCCCCCCAATCTCCGAGCAGGAGCTCGAGCTCCCAAACCCTAGGCCTCACCGGGGAGCCATCTCCGCCACGCTAGCGATGCCTCTCGCCGCAGCGGCTTGACGGGCGTGCCCCAAATCTACCTCTTCGGCGGAGAGCGTGGAGTGGTTGCTGTGGGAGGCGCGGCGTGGGTGGGAAATGGAGCCGAGGCGGATCTCGGCGAGCCCGCGCCCGTGCAGCGGGCGGCGTGTGGTGGCGGCCAGGAAGAGGCCGAGGCAGGAGGCGGTAGTGAGCAGCGTGCGTAAGCTGCAGCGCCGGGAGATCAGCTCCCGCCGCGACCGCTCCTTCGCCTTGAGCGACGCGCAGGAGCGCTTCCGCAACATAAAGCTGCAGGTTTGCCCCTAGCCCCGTTACCACTATCTCAAACGTCAGTAAGTTAGATCCTTTTCGTATGCCCCCGTGTCGTGGTTAGCTGCCAGTTCTTGGTGTGAGGAATTACGGGTCGGGGGTGTTCACTGGCCTAGTTTAGAGTGAGCCGGACGATTTACGTGAGATCTGTTTAGCATGCTTTTGAATTCTTGTTGGTAGCTGCGAGTGGAGTTCAGTGCTGAACGGTGTGCCCGATGAGAGGTAAAGATTGTCTTATACGTGTTGTGCGGCTTATATAGCAATGCTTGTTTGAGGAGTCGCCAAAAATTTAATCTTCACCTGTGTGACTGTGTGTGTCAAAACCCTCTTTGCCTTCGCACTGGTCTGCTTAGGCATTTGTACAGTTCTGGTTTGTTCAGTCCGGGGCACTTTTTTATTTTATTTTATTTTATTTTGGGGGCACATTGATATTTTCTTGGTCAAGGAAAAAGAGGGCATTGTGGGCTGAAATGCTGATGTTTGAGACTGTCGAAACCTGATAATCTAGGATTCTTTGAATCTGCATATCCCCTATAGGCTGTAGCAAATGCCATTTACAATTCTCTGCTGTGGTCTCTATGCTGCCAAGTTGGGTTGGTGCTACACATGCTGGAATCAGCTGCTAACCAAGTAACTGACTGTCACCTCCGTGCCACTTGATGTCTTTGTTCTGTAGTATGAATTTACCAATTTTGTCTCGTATTTCTGAGTATTATTTTAGTACTTATTCTGCACTCAAAGAGAGCAAGAATGCCTTCCTAGTTTGAATAACTAGGTTTGTGTTATCATTGGCACTCCCATGCTCAAACACAATCACTTTGTGCCAGGAAATCACCGCATTAGAGCTGTCAACCTTCGCAATATCTGCCTTTTTGTCACTGTGTGCAGCAATAAATTTATCTCAAGTTCTGTTTTTGGTAACATCGATTGACTGCACTTTAAGTTTCTGATAAATCATCTTTGCTGTCACTTTTAGGAAGAGTTTGACACTCATGATCCAAAGGAGAACACTTTGCTACTCCCTTACTTGAGGAAAAGGTCAAAATCATTGAGATAGTTGCAGCGCGTGATATAGTCTTTGCTTTATCACAGTCAGGAGTATGTGCTGCTTTTAGTAGAGGTATGGTATTTCTGCCTTCTTGCAATCCATTTTTGCTTCCTCTGGCTATCCTGAGATTCTATTTTTATATTTCCAGAGACAAATCAGAGAATATGCATTCTGAATGGAAGTCAAGATGAAGTTATCCGCAGTTTATTTTACAACAAGAATAATGATTCACTCATTACTGTGTCAGTATATGGTTCTGAAAACTTCAGTGCTCTCATGGATGCAGAACAACTTCGAATAGAGTATGCTTGTGGTTCCATATGATTTATCAACACAATTGTTTTTTTTTGTTATGTCATCTTCCTTAAGACATTTTACCCCAACTATTCAAGGTACATTCAAGCGAGGACAACCGGATGCTGGTTTCCCCATTTTTGAGTCTGAGTCATTGAAATGGCCTGGATTTGTAGAGTTTGATGATGTCAATGGGAAGGTTTTGACTTACTCTGCTCAAGACAGGTATGCTGAATCACTGACTTTGGTAATGGCTAAAAGAAACTGAATCTTCTGTGAATCTGCTCTGATGCCATCTCATCAATAAACAGCACTTACAAGGTGTTTGATTTGAAAAACTACACGCTACTGTATTCGGTGTCTGATAAGAATGTTCAAGAAATAAAGATCAGGTAATTTGATATTTCCTTCTTCCTGTGTTCCCTTTTCCTGTGTGTTACTGTATCAGATACTCTTTATTCTTCTTTCAACTTTGATGTGCGGTAAATTGATCAGCCATCATTTTAATTTCTCTTATATTAGAAGTCATAACAGCAACAGGTTTGGCACTTAGGGGGTGTTTGGATCCTGGGGCTAAAAACTAGCCCATCTTGTGATAATGGGCTAAACAGGGGCCAATGAGAGGTAATGGGCTTGAGGCCCCACTAGTTCTTATTAGCCCATGTCCAGCCGTCCTATTTGGCTTCCAAAACCCAGGGCTAATAGCCCATGGGGTCCAAAACTCCCTTATACATCTTTAAGATGAGAGAATCATTCAAATAGAGGATAGGATATATATCTAGCGCATGGACTCTGGGCAATAGTATTTCTTACAGAAGATCTTGTCTGTATACTTTCAGCTTAAAGTATTTTATTTGATTCTTCAGTTGGCTGTACATATTTGCAATTTGCATTTGTCCAATCTCTAATTATCTGTTTTCTTGTCACAGCCCTGGGATAATGCTATTAATTTATACAAGAACAAGCAGCTCGGTTCCTCTGAAGATTCTTTCCATCGAGGATGGTACAGTCTTGAAGTCCTTCAGCCACCTTCTCCATCGTAACAAGAAGGTAGATTTCATTGAACAGTTCAATGAAAAGCTTCTGGTCAAGCAGGAAGGAGAGAATCTTCAAATTCTTGATGTAAGCCTTATACCTAAATGCAATCAAACGAAGATTATTTGTTTCGTCATTAGGGTTTTAACTCTGAACTCACTTGTGTACCTAATAATATCTGTAGGTAAGGAACTTCCAGTTGACAGAAGTGAGCAGAACTGAGTTTATGACTCCATCTGCCTTTATCTTTCTGTATGAGCTGCAACTTTTCCTGACATTCCGAATCGATCAGTAGCAGTTTGGAACTTTCGAGGTGAACTGGTCACATCATTTGAAGATCACCTGTTGTGGCACACTGACTGCAACACAAACAACATATACATTACAAGTGATCAAGATCTTATTATTTCATACTGCAAGGCTGACTCAACTGATTCATCTTCAGAAGAAAACGGTGAGCATCTTTTATATATATTGTTGAACTGCTCCTGTATTTTTTATTGCAGTGCCTGTTACATTCTCCTGGTTATGTTCTTTTGATTTTCCCTTGTAATATTCTTTCACTGCCAGCTAGATTGTGTTTCATGTGCTTCTCAGATCAAACAATTTAACTAAAATTGCCATTGCCTTATCTCATAGCTCATGATGCATGTTTCGTTCTAAGCTGGATTTTGTTCAGTTTGATAAATTGGTCAATTGTTTTGGATGGAATTCACTGTACTTGTTTTTTTTCACTTCAGTGCGATGTACATAAAATGGCACACGCATGGTATTCACTACTTCAAACTTATTTTGTAACTTACAAATATAGTGCCTAGTTTTTTGCTGGGACTTCTTTTTTTAATATTGCATTTCATCCTTCCTTTTACGATTATTGAATGAAACTGCATTTCTCGTGTTGGCGCTTATAAAATTATTGAACAATAATCTTTGTTTCCTATAATGCAGCTGGCTCTATAAACATCAGCAGCATACTGACTGGCAAATGCTTGGCAAAAATAAATCCTGGAAATTCGTGCAAGCAAAAGAAAGCATGGAGGTTCCAGAACACAGTCTCGAGGCCCTCGAGGACATCACAGCTCTGTACTATGACGAAGATCGTGATGAGATCTACACTGGCAACCGGCATGGCCTTGTCCATGTGTGGTCGAACTGAAAGCTGAAACTGTGGCGGCTTTCACCCACAGCACGGTGATCTTCACCTGTATGTGTATTAACAGCTAGTACCTCATGTGGCAGGGGGCATGAAGAAGACCCTTAGCCACCGCCCACCAGGTACGTATGTGATGCTTCATTTTTGAGGCAATTCTTATTTATCTCAGCATGCCAAGAGTTCTCTCCTCCCATTCAGAAATCAGAACCATCCAGATTTGTTGTAGAATTGGCAATCGTTGTGTGTTTTCACTGTAGCATGTAGCTTTTTGGGAATGCTGATTATGTCCCTCAACTCAGACACAGAGCGAGTTCAAGTGTAACGGATGTTCCTTGCAAGTAATGAAATTCATTCGTTGAGTTCTCATTTCGTCGAAATGCTTTCACTGTTGAAATGCCAAGAGTAGTGTATGTTCAGAAATGCGGAATCCTATTCTGAATGTCTTGGGCCTGGTGAGGGTGCTCACTGTCACCAGAGAGGATGCTGCTCCTTTGATGAGTACTGTAATTCAGAGTGCATACTCAAGCACAACTCAGTCTTGTTTTTTCGTGGCCAGAATTTAGATTAGTCTAAACTTTGGTTGACCAGAGAGGAGCAACAGGCCTGAGGTTCGTTTGCAACACGGGAACTGGAGCGTTTGCTAATGGAACTCCTGCGTTCCAAACGACTCCGCTCGGCCCGGCTCCGGCGCAGTCTGTGCTCCACAACCTCACCGCCCTCACGGCCAACCCCGCATGGCGCGGTGCTGGTGCCGAAAGACCAAGACGCAACCACCTTGGCGAGTCGGCGATCACCGACGGCAGAACTTTCGGCGTCCGGAATTTCAACTCGCACCACTAGCTTAGCTTGGGGCAAGCAAGACGACTAGACCAAACCAGAATGATCAAGTGCTGAGCCGACCAGGGCTGGCGCCTGGAAAAAGGAGCACGCCACCAACCATTTGTTTCGCGTGCTGGCAAGGCCGTTAGGATTTCCGGTCCCGGGCAGTCCAGCAGATGCTTGGCCCGGATCCACCGTGCAGTCTCAGTCTCGCCACTCCATCATTGTAGCACTAGCATGTATGTACAGGGGCTCATGAAGTGGGGGACAAATAAGCGTGACGCTCAAGCTCAAGCATGCCCCTCTTCTCCTTTATGTGTGGACTGAATTTGAACCGACACAGCAACACTGTCCAAGTGATTTTTGTTGGCATGCCAACATTTTCTTCTGAAAAAATAGCTGATTCTCCGAACGCAATTCAGACTGCGCATGAGAAAATGCAATAGTGGGGGAAAAACAGAGAGACAGGGGAATTGTCCTACTCTAACCTCTTTTTTGTTTTTTTTTTTGCTTTTTGAAGTATTTACACTTTGCTCCCTCTTTACAAGGTGCATGGTTTTACTGCCGGGTAAAAAACCCAAAACCACACACGCCAAGAGGAGCTCCAATCCACGTTCACATTCTATGACCCCAGTTAATCGGCTTTGGTATCAAAGAGGAACGAAAAAAATGGCAGCCGTGAGCAACTGCTGTGCTCCCGGCCGGGCCCAAACAATTGGGGGCAAAATAAGGGGGGAAGAAAGCACCCATGCCAATGGAGAATTCCCAATGGAATCGCGGCACGGCGATATACAGAGAGCACTAGGAGGACCAGCTCCTGAGCAGGGACGGCTTGCCGAACATCTGGTCGAGCGCGAGGACGACGGCCATGGCCAGCGACACCTCCATCCCGGGCTGCACCACCAGCCGGAACACGTCCGAGCCCACCGCCTCCTTGGGGAGCACCTCCGCCACGGCCCGCCACCGCTCGTCGTACACCGTGCAGCGCCGCCGCAGGTACGACCCCTCCACCTCGTACCCGCCGGCGCCGGTTTTGGCGGCGGCTCCGCCAGAGCACGCCGCGACGTGCGCCATGGACTTGGCGCCGCCGCCGCCCCCGCCGCCGCGCATGTACTGCGCCGCCCGCTTCACGGCGTAGAGCGGCGGCAGGCGCCGGGTGTCATCGCCCGGGTACACCAGCCACTGGTCGGACCCCAGCCCGAGGCCGATCAGCTTCCTGCAGCGGCGGAGGGTGAGCACGGGGCAGCCCGCGGCGTCCATGAGCACGACCTCCGCGCGGGAGTCGGACGCGTAGCTGTCCACGCGGTACACCAGGTCGCCGCGGGCGTCGAACACCGTGAACCCCCTGCCGTTGAACAGCAGCGACTTGCGCCACACCGTCAGAGTGACCGGCTCCTCGTCGGCCGGCGCTGGCGCCGGCGCCGGCGCCACCACCGGCGGCTGCTGGCCGAGGGACGGCGGCACGGCGACGTTCGGGTGTATCTTCGCCGTCATGCTTAGATCAGCAGACTGATGTTTCTAGATTTAAGAATGGTGGAGAGATGGGAGGGAGGAAGTTAGCTCGCTAGCTAGCTAGAGGGAGGAGAGAAATGGCAGTTTATGATTGTGTCACGGCTTAAGAGGGGTGGACGTGAGCAGTATATATACACACTCCATGGACAGGAATGCCCCTGGATAATTAGGGTTGGGTTGGAAGGGTTATGTGGCAGATGGCTCTCACGTGTATTGGGGCAGGGGATGAGATTATTAACTATATATTCCACCCTAATAATGCTCTGCCACTTTTATCTAAAGTTTAAAGTAACATGAAACTTTAGACAATACAATAGAGACACATTTACACTCATGTAAACATGAATCTTGGCTAGGATCCACCCAAGGACTACAATCAGGTAAAAGGGTTAGAAACATATATTGTTTGCTTATAAATATGTGGTAAGAATTATTTTCTTGAGGCCAGTTTAAAAGATGTAAGGTAGATGTATTGGTTAAGTGTCATAAATGATGGAACATGTTCACCTGAGTTTAAATCTTGATTTAGCATCGGTGCACATATTTACAGTTCATTATTTTTTCTGTGTCGGCTAAGTTACAATGACTTTATCAAGTTTAAGATACGCCAACATAATGCACAAGGTCATGGACGTAGCCAGAGGCGGAGCTATGTTCAGAAGATTGGGTATGGCCGCACCCAGAAAAAAAAACAGATCATATTCGTACCTTCATGTCACAAATCCCTGTAGGCATGAGACAAGCGTACCCTTTTGGATTTTCTCTAGCTTTGCCCCTGGACGCAGGCTATGCAAGTGAGAATTCTAGGGCGGGTGCATGTATGTAGAGTGTTTGCGCACATTGCGTTCTAAAAATAATGACAGCACTTTCTTTTAAAGGTGCAAGAGGAAGCCATCGTTTAAAGATTTTTTAGATTTGGAGGAATCTTAGGTCCCGTTTGGTTGGCACAACTCAGCTTTATTAGTGAAGCTGTTTTTTTAAACGGCTTCACGAGAAGCCTTCTCGGTGAAGTGAGCTGTTTTGAAAAAATTGTGTCGGTGTTTCGAGTTGCCACCAACAAGTAAATTCCTAATATTGCGCATCTGGCTTGGATGGTGTGCTAAGAGGACACGAGGTTTATACTGGTTCGGGCAGAATGTCCCTATGTCCAGTTCGTTGCTGCTGCTCGTGTTACTAGCACTGAAAATTCATAGTAGGGGTTACAAAACGGTCGAGAGAGGGACATATCCCAAGTCTCTGGTGAGAGGAACGAACGGGCGCCGAGGGCTCGGTCACTTCTCTGCTGTGTGCTTGTGTGTTCTAATCGGTTAGGGGTTCGAGTCCGAATCGGTGTGATGTGTTGCGATGCGTTCGAGTTGATCCGATTCGAGTCGAGTCGAGTCCGATGCCCCTTGTGGGACGCCCTGCTTTCTCTTTTATAGGCCAAGGGAAAGCACGGGTTACAGTGAAGGAAGAGAAGAGAATGAGAGGAAGAAGTTCTTCAGGATCTCCGGGTCCTTCTCCTCTATGCGGGTCCCGCCGACCCTGTAGACGTCAACAGGGATAGCTTCTCGTCGCGGCCCTGTCCGTCACTGGCACCATGTGCAGGCGTCGTCTGCCGGTCATGGCGCTCCACTCCGTCTTGGCGGACGTCGTGCTGAACTGACGTGCCCGTCAGTGTTCATACGGGGGTTAGGTAGAACAGCACCGGTACGCCCGACGCTGTTCCTGATGTGAAGGGTATGGCCCGTCGTGGGTTGCGGGCTACATCGAGGCGTGCCAGTCTCTTCCCTAGTGTTAGAGCTTTGACCCAGGCCCATACGCTTGGACCTGGAGTGGTTGGCGGCGGTATGGGTCTTCGTCGGGCGAGACGGAGTTCCTCCCCAGAGGCCGGGCGAGGCGGAGCGCAAACCCAAGGCTCGGCGCGAGGCGGAGCCAGCCCTTAGAGGTCGGGCGAGGCGGAGCCCAAACCCAAGGGTCGGCGCGAGGCGGAGCCAGCCCTTAGAGGTCGGGCGAGGCAGAGCCTGCGGCCTCGGTGTCGGGCGAGGCGAAGCCAACCTCAGGGGTCGGGCGAGGCGGAGCCTGTGGCCTCGGTGTCGGGCGAGGCGGAGCCCGCCCTCAAGGGTCGAGTGAGGCGAAGAACACGACCTCGGTGTCGGGTGAGGCGGAGCCAACCTCAGGGGTCGGGTGAGGCAGAGCCCGCGGCCTCGGTGTCGGGAGTGACGAAGGTCGCCCCCAGAGGTCGGGCGAGGCAGAGTCCGCCCTCAGGGGTCGGGCGAGGCGGAGTTTGCGCACCGGGGGTCGGTTAAGCTGTAGTCACACTCTTGACTGCTCGGACGAATCAATGTTGATGGTAGCTCCTCCTCTTCGGGTACCCTAATATTGGTCCCCGATAAATTGTTTGGCAAATAGGTTCACCAACAACTTCATGTATGACTAAGAGAGGGAAATGAGGGAAAGACCTGTGAAAAGCTATTTTTTGTCAGCTTCACCTGTCTCTTTGTGAGAGCATAAAAAAAAGCTTCACCCATAAAGATGTGTTTGGCAAAAAAAAAAGAGAGCTCAAACTAGCTCGTGAAACTGTTGGTGAGAAGCTGTGTCAAATAGAGCCTTAACTATACAACAAATTTGTTAACAAAGTAGGCTTATGTAGCCACCTCTTCAAATCCACCCCGACTCTTCATAATCTTTTCAAACCAGGCTCATATTGGAGTTTCTAGGAGAAGTTTAAGAAAGAGCTGTAAAACGAATCTGATGCATTTTGTTACTCATAAAAGGCTGTTAATTAGCCTTATTAGAATCTATAATTACAGCGTTTGGCAGCCTCCTTGGAGCATCTTTTTCATGGTATCACTTCTCTCAGCCAAACTACAAAGAGTGATCAGTATAAAAATCGCTTCCTCATTTATACTAAGAACTACACTTCCTACTGACGTCTATTCATTTTGCAGGAATTATTGCATCAGAGAATAAGAACGAAGCTCTACCAAACAAGCTCTTACCCTCTTCTGTGTTCACGTCTCCGGCTCGACGGCTTTGCTAAAATTTACGACCACTATATACCCCGATATTTCTCGCATTCGCAATCAACGTCGCTGCTCTTGCAATTTGGGTTTGTAATGTTGGTTAATCATAGCCACTTCTTTAAGCGGTTTGGCCATGTTCTACGCTGTCGTTTCATTCATTAAAAAAGATGTTCTTACGCTGTCGCTGGTCAAAATCATTCCCCGAAACCGACCGAACGCGTGGCACGAGGTGGGGATTCGGGTGGCCAGGATGAGGCGAGCGCGCGCGCTGGGGCGGCCCGCGGCCGAGAGATGCAGCCCCGCATAGGCGCTCGCTGAGTCGCTGCCGCCGCCCGCGCTCGTCAGCACCCGGCGTGGTCGGCTGGAGATTAGAATAAAACGATTGATTAGTGGCAGCTGCGAAGCGATGAAGCCAGCGAGATCTTTATCTCGAACCATAAGCAAGAACGCCAAGCTTATGGCTTTTAACAATTGCTGTACGGTGATGTCGTTATTAGCTGCTAGTTTAAGATTATTCTACGTGGACAATCTAATGGCTACGAAGTGATTGCCGTTGGAGTTTCAGTAGCCAGCCAGCCGTGCAGACTAAAGGCCCCTTTGCATCGAAGGAATGGGAAAGGAATTTCGTACGATTTAAAGTTCCTAAGGAAACTTTACGATCCTACTCTTTGGTTCACAAGAAAAGGCAAGCAAGCATTCCATAGGATTAGAAACCTACAACTGAATTCCATAGGAAAAAAAAAGCATGAGTTCAGACCTCTTGGAATTTTTCATGGCGGGATAGAAATAGCTCGTCCGCGTCGCTTCGCGCGTTTTTCTTTACTGCTTGGCGGTACAACAGGCTTGACGTTCTTTTGGAGACGATTATTTGTTCGTGTTTTATCCGATACTACCGAGGTCTTCTATAGCCAACCAGCGCAAGCCGAGTGGGCTCTCCAGTTCCTTTGTGGCGTGGCTTTCGTCTCCGCCGCGGGCCACAGGAGCGTCTGCCGCCGCCTACGTGATGCGAGCGTCCTCATCGCCGGCGTTGCGACGACCGCCCCATCGCTAGCTGCTCACTTCATCCTCCTTCGCTGGCCACGCAGTGTCGACTCCATCGTAGTCCACATGAAGCCACACTACCAAATCCACATCGTGAACCACGGCCAACAGGATTGCAAGTAATCCGTAAGTTTCTTGTCCAATCTCCCACCAACTTCTTTTTCCCCAATCTGAGATTGGATACTCTCTTTTACTTTGGGAAGATTCGTGCTGCCCTCCGTCGTAAACCACGGCTATATCGCACTTCTTTAACTTCAATAAGTAATTTTGCCTCGAATCTTCTGATAACACCAAGCATTTGGATCTGAAATCTATTTCTGCAACTATTTTTCTACAGACTCACTTCCCCTCCCCAGCGCACCTTCCTGGCCTGGCCTCGACGCCCTTCCCCTCCCCCGCGGACCTTTCTGGAAGCGCGGGCTGGAGACCCGGGCGGCACTGTGCGGCGGTGAGCCAGGCGCAAGCCAAGGTCCGGGGGCCGCGACTAGGATGGCGAGGAGGCGGTGGCCTGCAACCCAAGCGGCGGCGCAGCGGTGCTCCAGCGGCAGCGGTGGTGCCGCGGCGGTGCTGCAGTGGCATCGGTGGCGGTGGCTCGGATAGTTTGCGGCACAACTCTCGACCACAAGACAGTGAGCATGGGATTGCTGCAGAGCCTAGCGGTCTAGTTCAAACTGAGAGCAACAAGTGCTGTACGAATTCCTTTGTTTGCCTGAGGTGTTGCCAAAGGGCTTCCAAGTCATATATTCCTATATTTTCAGTTTCTATAGGATTGGAGAAGTGGTGTACTTTAATAATTCTTGTATTTTTCCTATTCCTATTCTTTTCCTATCTTGTGTTTCAAAGGAGCCTTAAGTGTTGATATTTCTCTTGACTCTTGTGGCGTGACGGAGGAGATGACGACATATGCATTAGTATTTTTTTTATAATTGAGAGTCC